TCTCATCGATATTTCTAACTTTCTATCCCTCTCCCTTCCTCTCTGTAAAAAATCAATAAAATATATTTTTTTAAAAATAAATAAAAAATAAAAGAAAGACAGAAAGAAAAATATAGAATGAAAAAAAGAGAAGGGAGAGAGGGAAGAATAGGAGGAGGGGGGAGGGGAGTTAATAACTGTCCTCTATGGGAAACTGATGAAAGCCATGAATAACACCTCTAAAACTCATATTATCAATCTCCGTGATTTCCATGAACTGCTTTTGGTTTAAAATAAGCAACAACAACAAAAAATCCTAGAACACAATCTACTATAAAGAGTTAAAAATATATATTCTTTGAAAAAAATAAACGCTCCATATAGATTAACAAGAACAAAGATTTTACAAATATCTTCCTTTGAAAGAAACCATTTCCCACATCATGAAGACTAAGAGCATAACTGAAAGGCCAAGTGATCATTCTGGTTTAAAGGATCTGAGGAGAATCACCTTTGCAAGACCAGCTCGGTGGGCTCCCTTAGATTCCATGTATGCGAGGTATTTGTTGAACTCCCGGAACTCCTCCATGGAAGGTCTGAAGGTCATGATCTTACAGCTGGGATTCAGCCTACTCTCCAACTCAGCCACCTCCATGATGGCTGGGATGGCCTCTGCAGAGAAGAGGACACGGTCATCAGCAATGAATTATTACATGGTTAAGGTTGGTGACCATTTCTCCCATATGGCAGGTAAGCTCCCAGCAGCACGTCTTTTAGTTACTTACCAATTCCTTCTACCACCCTATTGTTCTCTCATCTCTCTCTAGACTGCTGTGGGGGAAAGAAACAAAAAACTGCCTCTCGTCCTTCCCTTACTTTTCCTACCCACCTCCCTTCACACTTATACAGGTACACATGCCCAAATCCATGAGCTGCAGGATGAAAGTCTCACCCCTGTACAGGATACACATAATCATTTAGAAGTGTCAAGATCAGTCTCTTGCATAACTATCATGCCCTTGTCCACCACCACAGCCTGCATTATACTTTACTAGAGGCCCGGTGCACAAAAATTGTGGACTCGGGGGGCGGGGGGAGGGGGGTCCCCCAGCCCGGCCTGTGCCCTCTCGCAGTCTGGGACCCCTCGGCAGATAACGACCTGCTGGCTTAGGCCTGCTCCCGGGTGGCAGAGGGCAGGCCCA